TTACTTTCTCTGTTCTTGCAGGAATTTTTATGGTCCTTGAAGTTAGTAGCCTAATATTATGGAATTTTTCATCTGCCGTTGAAAGAATAATTTCTTCATTTCCAATCCTGAGAACTCGTTCTCCAACGTCAAATACAAATCCATATTTTTCCATAACGTCTAATCCTAAAATGAAGTCATCGGTAATGTCAGCTACGATAACTTGATGTTTAAAACATAAGCGGCCAATCTGCAGCTCCATGTCGACTTCCCCATGAACCGCCGCCCTATCTCCCGTAGCTGTTCGGATGACTAATCCATTCTGTTCTTTATTTACTTTGAAACCCATTATGAATCCTGCCCGTACTATTGATGACGTAGCTCCTGTGTCGATTGTGAACACACATTTCTTCTTATTTACATAACCCTCCAACAACAGACTACTTTGAACTCTTCGAAGTTGGGAAACATTTATTTCTCGGGGGGCACAACATCTCTTGGCCAGCGCAGCCCCCAAATTGCCAGCCATCTTTAGTTATCCTGAGGCTCTTCAACCACAGCAGCATTTACCCTTTCTGGGCTGCGTTGACGACAGTTCCTCTTGATATGGCCCACTTTGCCACACCTATAACAACGGATGCCTCCATTCGGCCTCCCACTATTTTGTTGTTGGTCTTGTCTCTGCTGCGAGTTCGATTTTGTCAGTAGTTGGGTGATCATTTTGTGTATATCAGATATCAGATTTTGTGTTGTGTCGTCTGGCTTGTCTTCCTCTACATTCACAGCTCGTACTCGCGGATTTGATTGGGTGGTATCCTTATAGGCAGCCTCAATCTCCAGTGCATGTACTAAAGCCTCACTACTAAGCTTATGCCTGGCTAACTTAAGAATTCGCCTAACTTCCTGGTCTCTTACTCCATCAATAAATGTACCAACTGCTAACTGTTGTTGAAATTCCATTGGTGCATCAGGATAGGCTAGATGGGCTAATCTTTCTACCGCAGCTTCGAACTCCTGGAGGCTTTCTCCACCTCGTTGTCTGCGTGATTTGAGCTGAGCCTGATATACTTGGGCGAGATGTTGGTCGCCATATCTTAGTTCTAACGCTGCCTCCAAAATGCTAAAGTTTTGTTGCTGTGCAGCAGGAATTGTTTGGAGCAGATCCAATGCTTGGCCCCTTAGTGCTAATACCAATGCTGTTGCTTTTTCTTCATCGTTCCAGTTATTTGAACGTGCAGCTGCCTCAAATTGTCTCTTATAAGTTGACCATGAACTTTGACCGTCGAAGGAAGGTGGTTGTAACCTAGCACCAGACGACAGTACCAGTTGGCCACTCCTCTCCCTTAATTGTTGCTTGAGCCGGGCTACTTCTCCTTCAACAATACTGACTTTTCCCTCAACTTGACCGACTTTTTCTTTAACTTCACTGACCTCTCCTTTAACTTCATTAACTTCAGCCCGTACATCTTCTTTCAATTGTTCAGTTACCAAGAGCATGACTTGATGTTGTCCCTCCACAATTTGTCAGGAAGAATCCTGGCGTTCCTTTTTCTGTTCTTCTTTTTCTTCCAGGCGTCTTCTCTCTTGATCTTCCATAATTCTCCTTTGTTCGTCTTTCTCTTCTTGTCGTATTCTCTCTTGTTCTTCTTTTTCTTTCTGTCATTTTCTTTCTTGATCGCTCATTCGTTCCAACAACGCTGCTAACAAGTCCTGTGTTTGTTTCTCTGCCATACTTCTTGTTATTGGCATTAACTCACGACACGTAAATCAGTTCAAAATAAAGTTTATTACACATAGAATCCGTAAAGTGTTGATATCACGTCTATTTTAATAATGGAATGTTCCAGAAAAATCTCGAAACAGCACTAGAAAGTCTTATTTAGAGTCTATACTTCTTTTGTGTTGACAAAATTCACTTATCTCCACTAATTGTCCAATGGAATGTTCGAGAATTTTCACGAAATATCACTAATAAGTCTTGTTTTGAGTCTACAACACGTTCCCGTCGACACAATTCACGTATCCTCTGTAGTTTCCAAATAGAATGTTCTAGAATTTTCCCGAAATTGCACCAGTAGTACTTTTTCTCAGTCTACAACACGTTATTACTAGCGGCACTCACGTATTTGCAGCTATTTCTAAATCGAATGTTCTAGAAACTTCTCGAAAATTCACTTTAAAGTCACTATTCAGTCCAGAAATAGTTCTCCAAACACTGTCCAGTAGCTTAATTCTCCGTGTTACCACTAATTTCTGAGAAGAACACTGTAGAACCTTTTCGAATATTTCAGAAATTTCTCTTCCAATCCACTTCCGACACCAAATTGTTACATGTTTGCTATCCACACAAACACCTATACTCGTAGATTCGTTGATTGAAAGTCCAGGTAACACTTACTCACTACTTTATTTACTAATTAACAATTAACAACAATAGATTAATTACTGTCTTAACTACAATTACACTTGAACACTTATAAGTCTCTTTCTTATTTCTTCTTTACTCGTTCACGTTCAACTTAAGATTAAGATCTCGGCCCACCGTGCGTCTTATTTATACATCCATTCTCCAGGTCTAGAGCACTCCAGAATATTCCCGGCCGTTCGTGTACAATTCCAGCCTAATCTAACCAGTCTGCATAGTCCAGTGGCGTAACAATATTTAATATATAAAATACCATGTAAAAATTGTAATAAAAGTTATATAGGTCAAACAAGTAGGTATTTAAAAACAAGGAAAAAAGAACATAGGAGATGTCAAAAACAAAAAAGAAGCTTAATATCACATCTTTGGTAGAACATTGTAAATTTTTAAATCATGAATTTAACGAAATTTTTTTGACGAAACCGCAATAATAGATCAACAATCTAATCTAGTAAAAAAGAAAATTTCAAGAAATGATAAAACATTAAAAAATTCGAATCAGTAAATTCAAGAAAAGACACTGAAAATTTATTATATTTATTTCAATCTAATTAATAAAATGAAAACTTTATGATACATTAGATATTTTAAAATTATGAACCTATTTACATCTTTCGTTCCTTTCTACTTTAAGCTTGTTTACTTATTATATAAACAACCATTTTAGTTCCCAAACACTTATTCATCCCTTATCTACAGTAAGTTTAACAGTGCTAAAAAATAATCTCATTAGTGTCACAGCTTCGACGAGAATAACACACATTTCAAGAAGCATATAAACATTTCTCATTTCTGTATGCGTCGATATACTGAGTATTTTTCAATAAACTCAATATTATAGCTACGAAGTATGTTCCTGCCATTATGTTTTTTATGTACGAGAAACACTAAATTTTAATGTGAGTATTTGTTTATAATTTTTATATATCACTAACCTATAACTAATTCTAAATAATTGAAGTGCCTAAAATAAGTACATGTTTCCTACAATCTGTTATAGAATAATTAATTAACTGTTCAATATTATTTCTTCACTATTAGTTTGGATTAGAATTTATCACCCATATAGTTATAGAATAACTTACAATCAATTTATTTATATCTTACAGTGCCCTGAGGATGGTTATAAATTATACCGAAACGTCGGCAACTTAATACAGTAGTGTTTTAATCACATTGGACTTAATAACCCAAAAATTTGTACTTAGTATTTAAAAGAAGTTATGTACGCGGCATAAGGGTATAGCGTCGACTAACTGGAATAATTCGATTAATTCTAAAAATTTAAAATAAGTTTAACATCAAAGAAAATATCAACTGGGTTCAAATCGAGACTTTGGAGGCAGAGGATGTCATGTTTTACATAACTAAACGGAAAGGCGTTGATTCAGGATTATTTCCCTGGTGCTTTGAGGCGCAGTACATTGTTAACATGTAATGTTTTGTCTATAATTTGTCGGCAACCACCTAACTTTTTTTTATGTATTTAAGTAAATTTAAAAAGGTCAACAGGGATCAGCACCAGGGAAGCAGCTACCTTCCTAAATTAGCATTAATTAATTTGTTACAGGTAAAAGAGGACCTATATATTTTTTAGTTATACTTTTTAAAATAACTCTTTCTGTGCGTTAGAATTTTCGAACCGGTAACATGAAACATAAAAGTTCAACTAAAGCTATAAAATACTAATACTGTCCTAATAAATCTAATAAATATTCTGGCTTGAAAATAAACGTGACACGACAATTAATCAAACAAACAAACAAGAAATTGCTACATTATTAAAAAATGTTAGTTTTACAGTAACACGTTAACCGTATTATTTACTGAAATACATTAAGTATCCGGCCAACGCTCTGCAAATATGATTGATAACCTCATTGATAAATTATAAAACTACCTGAACAATAGTCAGTAAAAATAGTATTTACTAATATTTAATTGTATGTAGGAATAAATTATATGTACTAAAAACAAACACTTATTGCAAGTTATCTGGAAAAATTGTTTTTATTTTCGATAAAAGTGAAGTTTTTTCTATGTGTACAATAAATTTCTCTCTTTCAACAGTAAATGCTCTAAGCTGTCTTCCAAAACCTTATCACAGGTGGCCAAAAAATAAACTGGAACGGTCTACTAGTTGCCATCTTATGATTCGTTAGATACTCGTTATGGATATCGAATTTTCTCTTTAATCGTTCGCTTTACGTTGTAAGTGATGGAGTCTCATCAGAAACGTTCTCTTCCATCCCCGGCGTTCCACGGGTTCGTCTTACCGCCCATACAAGTTTTTCAGACACCAAAAGTAGCAGGTGAAACTCAGTATAACTTGACCTACCTGTATAGTATCGGACGTAACTTCACCAAATGCTCTTTCTACCACGACCAATAAAGTAATGGAATTCGTAACCCTAAGTCCTCCTTTTCATGCCTTTAAAATCAAGTTAAATATTGTAATCTTTCCGCACCCATGTCACCCTTTTTGTGGATCAGACTTCTCTTTCATTAGGTTGTATCCACTTTTTTTTTTAATTATAAAATTTTGAACAGAAAAATTAACAAAATCCGTGGGGTACATGCACTTACTTATTTACATGCCCGGGTAGCTCAATCGGCAGAGCATGAGATTCTTAATCTCGGGGTGGTGTGTTTGAGCCCCACGTTGGGCGCCGTGCACACGCCCTTTTTATTTTGGATATTACAATTTTATGAAAACGAATGAAGTAAATCCGTGGAGGACAGTAAATCTATTATATGACAGGCTAGTCTGTATTTCATATTTATTTCGTCTTATTTTTATAACAGGTCGAAACCTATTTTTCGTTAAGTCAAAAGAATTATCTTTGATTTGTTAAGAAAATTCTCAAAATACTTGGTTACAATTAATTGTTTACTATTATTATTATTAAGGCCTTTTACAATTATTATTATGGGTCACTACAATTAGTAATCAGTTTACTTCATCTACATTTATTTTTTCAAAGGTTTAAAATTTACTTTTATTGGCTCATTATTATTATTTTATCTGAAAATGAGTTAAATGAAAATAGTTTATAGTTAAGAAAAAATAATAACACATTTTTGACAAATGACGAACATGATCTTAATACAACAGTTCTAATTATTATTCAAATCGACGCCAATGACAGTTGCTTACAATTGTTACTAAACAATTAGCATTCCACCCTCAAAACAGAAAACTAATTACATACTACATTTCACAATTTAAATAATAATACATGCTTCCTAGTTCTAAGATTATCACTCATTTGCATTATTTATGGCTAGCTTTTTAACCATACAAATATGGTATTAGGTTCAACATACTCTCATAGATTATGAGAGTTTATGTACAGGTGTACCGAGTCGAGGACATTCCCTATTGCCGTAACTTGAGATAACTAGTGGTTTGGTATTTCTTTGTCCCGAGGAAGAACTTGCGCTTCCGTCATTTTTAAACGGTACCAGTTTTTGTATTCTACTGCCAGAGGCAGATATGCACCTCAAGCGTATCAATCCTATCTATATTGATGAGATGGAATAACGTTTATTAGTTTTTGATTTGACCATTCAACCAGATCGATGATTCTGTATCTTTACATTCAATTTGCAGTAGATGGATGTTTGATACGTCTAATTTATTTATTATACTTATTTGCCGAAGTCGAAATCGTATACTTAAAAAAAAATTATTTCTTAATTTCGTTTCTTGTCGTTTTCTTTTTTTTAATATTGCGATATTTGAAAGCTTACTTTTTATGATAAACTTGAAAAGAGCAAAATGTATTCCATTATTTATGACATCAAAAAAAAAAATTGTAACGAAAGTTAATTAATTACTAATACTCTGTATTTCCTTCTTTGCATCTAATGACTGCTCTACAAGGATTTTGCGCACTCAAAATCAAATTTTGAATATACTCCTCGCAACAGACATTTCATTATTCAAGAGAGTTTCAGAAAACAAGGCTAAAGTTTATGGAGCATTTTCTATATTCCAATCTTCTCTTTCTATGGGACTGAAATCCGGTAACCTTGCCTGCCACCTCACCGATTCAAGATATTGCCGAACTACACAAGCGGATGTGGACGTGCGTTCTCGTCACAAACATAACACAATTGTCGGTGAATATGGAAATAATCATATCCAGACGTATCTTTTATACTTCCATGTATTCAGAGTTTCATTAACTCACATGCAAATCTACAAGTGCCTGGAAATTAATGTCGCCCACATAATCGCACCAAAAGCCTCAACTGGTGGATAATGCATTGGGCAAATCATGTTTCTAGGGGCTCTCCATGATTTTTCATGTCAATTATTGAATGTGAGTGTGAATCTGGATTCATCAGTGAACAAAACCTATTGAATTCACGTGATATTTCAAATGCAAAACTCTTTACCCGGTGGTGTCTTGTCAATTAAGGTCCAGTCTTTGGACACCTAATGTTCAACTCAGTCAATTTCTAGTTATTTTGTCGGACATCTCTAGATTGTGCGGTAGTCCTAATAAACGATCTCGTTCTGTGACTCCATGGCTCTAGGGTGCCTAGATTTGTCCAAAGTTTACCGGTAAAATCTGTTCATATTTGAGTTAAGTAGAAGAGTAACCTATGCTAAGCTTCGCCGAAAAAATTTGTTTTATCCATGTGATTGTAAGTTGTAATATTAGGATAATATAAATAACCTCTCCATCAAAAAAGCTTCAGACTGTAAGCATATTTTTATGTTATTTTAATTTTATTTTAAACATATAAAACAAAAGTGTGTTTTTGATGTCAAGCCATTGAACTTAAGACATCAGATTTGCAAAGTTGACTCAACTAATTAGCTTATATTCTTTAGTCATATTTCTGTTCAAAAATAAACTGTTTGCGCAGTTAAAATATTCTAATATATACACAATTTCAGACCTCATTTAAAAGGAAACAAAGCATGGTTATATTAAGAAGAATTATACGTAAACAAATATAGTTTAAAAAACCTAAAAAAACACGCTTTTAAAGCACATCAAACTAAAAAGTGAAAAATAATTATTAATATAAACTGAAAACAATAATGAACGAAAAATACTAGTATTATTGTGAAAAAAGCGTGGGTTGCTCGATATACGAAAAATATGGCACAAAGCGCCCCACGCTTTTTTCACAATAATACTAGTATTTTTCGTTCATTATTGTTTTCAGTTTATATTAATAATTATTTTTCACTTTTTAGTTTGATGTGCTTTAAAAGCGTGTTTTTTTAGTTTTTTTAAACTATATTTATTTTTCACTTTTTTAGTTTGATGTGCTATGAAAGCGTGTTTTGTAGTTTTTTTAAACTATATTTATATTGTTTATTGATGTTGATATTATAACATATTACGATCCAACAGATACTTCTGAAAAAAAATATATTTTTTTTCATCCATAGACGGGATTTGAACTCACGCCCGAGGAGTCCGTCGTTTCGCGTCGACTAAGACTTGCGCCTTAGCCCGCTCGGCCAACGAACGAACTGAGAATCACGGAATGTACTAACAGTAATAAGCCACTTGCTCTCACGCAGAGGATACGTGAGGAAATTATTTAATTCTGGCGATCCTGATCAGGATAATGATATAAACTTATCAAATTATTGTATTGTTACCGGTTCTTCGTAAGTGTACAAAGTTTCAATTAAATCTGTCCGTTTAAAGTGGGTCAAAATCGAGTCCAAAGAGTCGGTTACAAACAAACAAACAGACATACAAGTGAAGCTAATAAAAGCGTGTTAAAAAGGAGTAACATTCCTTTAAAGGATTGACAAAATAAAGCTTTTTCAGAAGTATTTATAGAATCGATTTATGATATTTTTATATTGAATTTATTGTTCTAGAACTTCTTACAATATTTTTCGGGTATATAAAGTCTAGCAAGCTTTCGGGTATTAAAACATACACCGATTGAATTGATTTTTTTTATACCGAATGAGTTCATAAAGTGGTTGTTAATTGAATTAAAAAAGTTTTATACTTAATACACGTTCACACACAAAAATTAAACACTTATTGCATCTATAATTGAAGAGAGACGAAAACTGTCGGATGGCTTGCCGGATTCTGTTATTATACGTTTCAGAAAGATTGTTATAATTTTTTTATATAACAAGTTATAAATATCAATTTCGGTTGATTTAAGAAGGCTACGTTTCTCTTGCATTAGTGAAAGTACTGAGAACGTGAGAAACTGACATTTTTTATTTATCCTTCATATACTACGGTTCACAACTTCCCGTACAGGTCCACATCCGAGCAATTTAATTGTTATGGAATGGTTACTTTTCTTATTATTCTAAATAAATTTCTATCAGTTCACGAGACTTTTAAGGACACACATTCAAACCCATTCAGCATTTTGTAATTAAAATGACTCTTTACACTAAAAAATTATCTCACATCTAAAAAAAATCGACAGAAACAAGAAAATATTTTTTTGTAACGACATATCCTAAAATGACATTTATTGAACAGTTTTAATGAATCAAAATAATGTAATTATTGACATGTGAAAAATAAATAAAAAAGTGTGAAATAAAGAAATTTTATTTCACAGTGTGAAACTTAATATAATAGAATAGAACTTAAAATAGTCAACAGACAACAAAATAAAGTTCTTACATCAAACTTTTATTAATTATTAACAAATTTCATGAACAATTTTATTCATAATTTAACGAAAATTTATATGAATAGTACTGTTACTAACAATATTTATATTTATTCCTGGAATTATGATTCAGATGTGCGAAAAATATTTGATTCATTTATATTAATATGGTGGTTGTCTGATTTTCACCAACGACTACATCAGCAGACAGTCATTTCTGTAGTATTGTTTGAAAATATCTGTTTTGAAATTTCCTTTTTATTCTGGATGCTATCTTCTATATATCCCTCAGCAAAGTTTACAGAATAAATTCTGTAAACTTTGCCCTCAGTAACTGTTTTGGATTTCCATCCCCCATGACGTTTTAAGGTAAGAATAGCAGTTTCAGAACCAGCTAATAGTGATGCTGAAGATCTCCTAAAGCTGTGACCCGTATATTGCTCAGGATCAGATAAGTTAAGGTATTTAGCTATAATACTTGGTATTTTTGAAAATGTATTTAATACCAACTCGTTGGACCGTACATTTTTCTTCTCGATATTGAAGAAAACCCCTTTGTGATTCACATGAGTAGGGCGAATATCTGCATATTTATCATAAATATTTAGTGGATTTATTCCATTATGTCTCACCAATTACCGTAAAAGTCCTTTCAATGTGGGTCTTCGAATCAGGTACTTTAACAAGCAGCATGCAGTCCTTTCTCACAATATCATCAATGGTCATATTGTAGCGTTCCTCTCGACGACAAGCGCCAGCCAAGCCCATTATTAATACAACTGTCAACATTAAAAACTTTTCATCTGGTGCTTCTAGTAAAAAACGTTCGACATCTGCTCTGTCAAAAACTTTAGATTTCTTAGCCCTATACCCAGTAGATTGTCTTTTCAAAAAAGCTTTTACTTTTTGATAATTGGGGATACATCTACATTATTCTTTACATTCAAAACTGCTTTAAGCATCGAAAATTTGGACCAGAGACTTGAACATTTTAAAGTTTTTGTTTTTTGAGATATATAAGTCAAAAGAACAGACTCAG